CAGTGCAAAAGGAAAAGAGAGAGAACCTCCTCCTTTTGTGAGCCTGTCTATGTCTCTGCTGCAATGTGGTCTTGAATACTCGTGAGAGCACCAAAGACATCCATGCTTTAATCTACATTTCAAATACAGAAGACGGGGGTGGGACAATGAGGTACCATTACACACCAGTCAGGATGGCTGCTATCCAAAAGTCTACAAGCAATAAATGCTGGAGAGGGTGTGGAGAAAAGGGAACCCTCTTACACTGTTGGTGGGAATTCAAATTAGTACAGCCACTATGGAAAACAGTGTGGAGATTTCTTAAAAAGCTGGAAATAGAACTGCCATATGACCCAGCAATCCCACTTCTGGGCATACACACCGAGGAAACCAGATCTGAAAGAGACACGTGCACCCCAGTGTTCATCGCAGCACTGTTTATAATAGCCAGGACATGGAAGCAACCTAGATGCCCATCAGCAGATGAATGGATGAGGAAGCTGTGGTACATATACACCATGGAATATTACTCAGCCATTAAAAAGAATTCATTTGAATCAGTTCTAATGAGATGGATGAAACTGGAGCCCATTATACAGAGCGAAGTAAGCCTGAAAGATAAAGACCATTACAGTATACTAACACATATATATGGAATTTAGAAAGATGGTAACGATAACCCTATGTGCAAAACAGAAAAAGAGACTCCTATGTATAGAACAGACTTGTGGACTCTGGGAGAAGGCGAGGGTGGGATGTTTCAAGAGCACAGCATTGAAACACGTATATTATCTAGGGTGAAACAGTTCACCAGCCCAGGTTGGGTGCATGAGACAAGTGCTCGGGCCTGGTGCACTGGGAAGACCCAGAGGGATTGGGTGGAGAGGGAGGTGGGAGGGGGGACCGGGATGGGGAATACATGTAAAAAAAAAAAAAAAAGATACACTATGGTTGTGATAAAAAAAATAAATAAATTAATTAAATTAAAAAAAAAAAAAAGAAGACGGGGGTGGGGGGGTGGGACACAGAGAGGTTAAGAAAGTTGTTCACGGTCACACAGCACATAACCAATGAGGGCAGGATATGAACTGAATTTTGTCTGGAACCAGAAAATAGCCACTGCACTCAGCAGCCCCAGTGTAGTTAGATCTCCTGGACTTGGAGGGAGTTGGATTTTTTCAATAGAAGGTGTGGAGTCCTTTTGAGTATTCCTCCCACCCCCTCTTCCCTTCATTCGTAATTCCAGGGAGAGGGTGGACCAAAGTCTTCAGCTGGGGATATCTTTGAACACTAATACATAATAAAGATTCCAAAGCAACCGCAGGGATGTTCCCAAGGCACCTACAGTGTTCTGGTTCAGTCAGTTCAGTTCAGTTCAGTCACTCAGTTGTGTCCGACTCTTTGCGACCCCATGAAATGCAGCACACCAGGCCTCCGTGTCCATCACCAACTCCCAGAGTTTACTCAAACTCATGCCATCCAGCCATCTCATCCTCTGTCGTCCCCTTCTCCTCCTGCCCCCAATCCCTCCCAGCATCAGGGTCTTTTCCAATGAGTCAACTCTTTGCATGAGGTGGCCAAAGTATTGGAGTTTCAGCTTCAGCATCAGTCCTTCCAATGAACACCCAGGACTGATCTCCTTTAGGATGGACTGGTTGGATCTCCTTGTAGTCCAAGGGTCTCTCAAGAGTCTTCTCCAACACCATAGTTCAAAAGCATCAATTTTTTGGCTCTCAGCTTTCTTCACAGTCCAACTCTCACATCCATACATGACCACTGGAAAAATCATAGCCTTGACCAGACGGACCTTTGTTGGCAAAGTAATGTCTCTGCTTTTAAATATGCTATCTAGGTTGGTCATAACTTTCCTTCCAAGGAGTAAACGTCTTTTAATTTCATGGCTGCAATCACCATCTGCAGTGATTTTGGAGCCCCCCAAAATAAAGTCTGACACTGTTTACACTGTTTCCCCATCTATTTCCCATGAGGTGATGGGACCAGATGCAATGATCTTAGTTTTCTGAATGTTAAGCTTTAAGCCAACTTTTTCACTCTCCTCTTTCACTTTCATCAAGAGGCTTTTCAGTTCCTCTTCACTTTCTGCCATAATGGTGGTGTCATCTGCATATCTGAGGTTATTGATATTTCTCCCGGCAATCTTGATTCCAGCTTGTGCTTCTTCCAGCCCAGCATTTCTCCTGATGTACTCTGCATATAAGTTAAAAAAGCAGGGTAACAATATACAGCCTTGACATACTCTTTTTCCTATTTGGAACCAGTCTGCTGTTCCATGTCCAGTTCTAACTGTTGCTTCCTGATCTGTATACAGGTTTCTCAAAAGGCAGGTCAGGTGGTCTGGTATTCCCATCTCCTTCAGAATTTTCCACAGTTTATTGTGATCCACACAGTCGAAGGCTTTGGTGTAGTCAATAAAGCAGAAATATATGTTTTTCTAGAACTTTTTTGCTTTTTTGATGATCCAGCGGATATTGGCAATTTGATCTCTGGTTCCTCTGCCTTTTCTAAAACCAGCTTGAACATCTGGAAGTTCTTGGTTCACGATTGCTGAAGCCTGGCTTGGAGAATTTTGAGCATTACCTTACTAGTGTGTGAGATGAGTGCAATTGTGCGGTAGTTTGAGCATTCTTTGGCATTGCCTTTCTTAGGGATTGGAATGAAAACTGACCTTTTCCAGTCCTGCGGCCACTGCTGAGTTTTCCAAATTTGCTGGCATATTGAGTGCAGCACTTTCACAGCATCATCTTTCAGGATTTGAAATAGCTCAACTGGAATTCCATCACATCCACTAGCTTTGTTCATAGTGATGCTTTCTAAGGCCCACTTGACTTCACATTCCAGGATCTCTGGCTCTAGATGAGTGGTCACACCATTGTGATTATGTGGGTTGTGAAGATCTTTTTTGTACAGTTCTCCTGTGTATTCTTGCCACCTCTTCTTAATATCTTCTGCTTCTGTTAGGTCCATACCATTTCTGCCCTTTATTGAGCCCATTTTTGCATGGAATGTTCCCTTGGTATCTCTAATTTTCTTGAAGAGATCTCTAGTCTTTCCCATTCTGATGTTTTCCTCTATTTCTTTGCATTGATCGCTGAGGAAAGGCTTTCTTATCTCTCCTGACTATTCTTTGGAACTCTGCATCCAAATGGGAATATCTTTCCTTTTTTCCTTTGCTTTTCGCTTCTTTTCATTTCACAGCTATTTGTAAGGCCTCCTCATTCAACCATTTTGCCTTTTTGCATTTATTTTCCATGGGGATGGTCTTGATCCCTGTCTCCTGTACAAATCACAAACCTCTGTCCATAGTTCATCAGGCTCTCTATCAGATCTAGTCCCTTAAATCGATTTCTCACTTCTACTGTATAGTCATAAGGGATTTGATTTAGGTCATACCTGAATGGTCTAGTGGTTATCCCTAGTTTCTTCAGTTTAAGTCTGAATTTGGCAACAAGGAGTTCATGATCTGAGCCACAGTCAGCTCCCGGTCTTGTTTTTGCTGACTGTATAGAGCTTCTCCATCTGTGTTCTGGTTAGTTCTGTCAATTGCAGGGATTTTATATCAGGGGAGGAGACATTGCTAAAAGGAATCCTGAAAATTGACAAAATACCTCAAAATTCTTATACATAATAGTGCTTCTCTTACAAAGGAAGTTCAGGGGAGTGGTTAAGAGCTTGGGAAGAAAGTGAACGTGTTAGTCCAGTCACATCTGACTCTTTTTGAACTCTTGAACTGTAGCTTACCAGGCACCTCTGTCCATGGGATTCTCCAGGCAACAATACTGGAGTGGGTTGCCATTTCCTCCTCCAGGGGATCTTGCTGACCTAGGGATTGAACCTGGGTCTCTTCCATTGCAGGCAGATTCTTTACACTCTGAGACACCAGGTAGGAGCCTGGGAGCTGGAGTCAAAGATTCAGGGATTCAAACCAGGCTCTGACCATCACTAGTTGTGTGACCTTGGGAAACAGGCCTGTAGCTATCCATAAAAATTGTTCATCCACAGGTTCAGACTTTTTTTTTTGCCCCACAGTGGGCAAATAGGATCTTAATTCTCCAACCAGAGATCTATCTCAAGTCCCCTGCACTGGAAGCCCAGCATCTTAACCACTGGACCGCCAAGGAAGTCCCCTGACAAAATTTTAAAGTCCAATTGTTTTGCATTTATATGTGTGATGATTTAATGGAGATCAATTATTACTGCCATTCCATGACTTCAGCTGGAAGTTTCAGAAACATTATTTTAATGTATATTACTCACTGCAAGAGAAGTGCAATAATGCCATTTCATGGATAAGAAAACTGAACCTCAAAGAGAATTTGTCAGGACACACAACTAAGAAGTGGCAGGGACAGAACTGAAACTCAAGTCACCTGACTTCCCTGTCTCAGCATTTTGTGATCAGCAGCCCTCCTCACAAGGATCACAGGAGAAACAGCCAACAGAAATGCAAAAAATATTTAATAATTGGCAATAAATTAACAACAGAATACAGAATAGCAAACACACACAGAAACGTCACCAATACAAAACATACAAGTTACAGAACTAAAAGAAAAAAAAACCCCAAAACTGCTTCTCAGAAGGACTTTTGGCCCCTTCACTACCCAGCCCCTCAGGGAATGAGGCCGCCCCAGGGGGGAGCTCCAAAAGTCACAGATTCGTGTACTCTCAAGGGGACCACCGAAGGTTCAAAGCTGGAATTGGAACTTGTCACGGGACAGGGGTTCCTGTAACTGCACAAGTAGAAACCGGTCCATGGTCCGTGGTGGTGGTCAGCGACCAAGGCAGACATGGACTCCAGTCTTTTCCTGGGAGGTTCTTAGGGCAACGCATCCCACGGGAATACCGCTGGTTTCAGGGAAATCCTCCGGTCTTCAGGGAAAGGGCGCCTCTGGCACCAGCGCAGGCGGCTGAGAGACCCCATGGGTCAGTGAACCCTCGGAGGAGGGCGGCGCCCGCAGCCAGGCGCCCTGAGCGCTCCGGGTCCAGGCGGAGCGGCGGCATCACAGACAAGGCCCCGAGTGCGCCACCAGCCGCAGGTCCCACGCGAGCAGGTGCAGGAGGTGGAAGATGACGGTGGCTTCGTGGCACCGAGGCGAGTCCTGCAGCCCGGGAAGGAGGCAGAGCGGGGCTGAGTCAGGAATCTCCTTCCCGAGAGACCCCCCGCTCCGGACCCTCAGGGCTACAAGCCCGGCCCCCGCCCCGTCTCCACCTCCCGCGGTCCTCCCTGCGGTCCAGCCGCGCTCGCGCCGGCTCCACTCACAGCTCGGCGAGTCTTGGGACGCCTCCCGGGCCGCGGCGGGGGCCTCCTCCAGGAGCCTGGCCGGGCCAGCCCGAGCTGGAGCGGGGAAAGAGGTCAGCGAAGGCGGTGGAGACCCGAGCCGCCCCTCCCCTCCCCGGTGACTCGGGCCCTCTCCCTTCCGGCGGCCGCAGAGCAAAGCCGGGAAGCTGCGAATCGTGTCCGTGCCCGTTTCCGGGCTCAGGGGGACAGCTTCGCAGTGCGGGTCGTGGCCCTGAGACCAGGGGCGCAGAGCGAGGCGGGAGCGGCGCGGGGCCAGGCCGCCGAGCACTCACGCAGGCCGCCACGTCCCGCCTCGCGGCCGCCAGCAGCTCCAGGGTCTGCCCGACGCCGGGGAAGAGCTCAGGGCTCGGCAGGCTGCTCAGCACGGCCTGGGCGTCGGCGAGGTCGCGGGCCACCCGGCGGAGCATCGCACAGGACTGCGGGGACCCGGCTGGAGTTAGACGGGGCGGCGCCCGAGCCGCCCCCCCACCACACACACAAGCCCGCCGGCCTCGGGCCTCACCGACGGCCGGGGAGGGTTCCTCTTCTGGCGGATCGAGCAGTTTTGGGGCCCCCAGCTCAGCATCTCTTCTTCCTGCGGGACAAGAGCTGGGGTGAAAACAGGGCCTCCTGGCCAGGGCCCCTGGGGCACTGGGACGTCGAGGATTCCTGTACGTGGATCAGGACTGGTTGGGACGGTGTTGTTTTTCGTGTCCCGCACCAGGCTGCGCTCTGATGAGTGAGCGGAGCTGTAATGCTCCCGCGCTCTTTGTGCGGAGCCTATGCCTAGACTTCGAGCCGAGTCCGCCTGGAGGGGGCGTCCCATCTGTGATGCGCTTCGTCTTGTATGACAGACCACCAGAGCCTCAGGGAAGGGGTCAGGGTTCACAGTTCTGGACTCTGAGATCCGCCATGCATCTACTAGACTCTAGTTCGCCAGGGCCCCTCGGGACAAAGACTGGCATCTCTGAGCCTGGCGGTGCCAGGGGCGGAGGGGCGGGGGCCTCTGAGCATCACTCACATAGTGGTCCCTCAGTGCCTTGACAGCCAGCAGCGCCCGGGGGTCCAAGGAGCGATAGTGTGAGAGGAGGCAGCGCTGAGGCTCTGTCACGTCGGGGTCGGCAGCTACACCCATGGTCGCCAAGACCCACAATCCCACGACCACTGCGGCTGCGCCACTCCGCCCCATCTCTGCTCCTGCTGCAGGCGAGGGATGTCAGCGAGCCCAGAGAGAAGGCCCTGAGTCCAAGCCCCTGCCTCTGGTTAGACTGGCACAAGGACGGCCCCTCACAGCGTGGACGCTGATCACACCCAGGGGAAGAGGCAGGGAGGGTCCTGACACCCCTCCTACCCTCAGCCTCTCTCCCCTCACTCCTCACCTGCACTGTGTCTTGGGTTCCTGGCACTGCAGCAGGGCCTGTCTTCCACTGGCCTCTGGGTGTCCAGAGTGGTGCCCACCTGGGTCGGCGGTGCCTGCACCCTCCATGGTGGCTTTTAAGTGTTTCTAACTGGGAGCAGTGAGCAACCGGGCTTCCCCGGTGCAGGGTAAGCTTTCCCAACGTCAGTGCTGGCCATTGATCGGTCCAGAGGGTTGTAGGCAGGGATGTGAGGACTTTAACCCACAGTGGGGCAATGCCAGCAATGATGCCACCCCAGCTAACTGCCAACACTTCCAGTCCCTTTCTATATCCTTTCACTTTCATCACCCTGGGTGTCGTTATCTCTTTTCTATAATGCCAATTAGCTCTTACACAGTTACTAGGCCCTGTTCCAAGGTACTGATATGTACTCATCTCACTTAATGTTCAAAAAATGACACTGCAAGAATTGTTCTATTATACCTCCAATTTGCAGATGGGAAAACCATAGCACAGTAAGACGAAGGAACTTCTCCAAGATATGCAGTTCATAATCAGCAGAGGCAGAATTTAAACCTGTTTTCAAACCAGCTTCAAAGCTTATCTCTAAGCCATAACTACCACCCCCCACCCATATCTGATTTAGTGCCTCCTCTCTTTCCTTTTCTGTCCTCATTTCATTCTGTTTCTCTTTCTTCCCTCTCTAGTCACCTCCCCTTTTGTCTCCACCTCTTTGATCCTGTTTTTGTCTCTGTCAGTAACTTCATTTGTTTCTTATTCCTTTTTCTCACTGAGAAATGGAGTATTTCCTGCCATATCAATAGACAAGGATGTCACAGCCATCAGTGATTCCGGCCCTCCAAAGGTGAATTTCTGAGCCCAGGAAGGAGAACAACATCTGGCAGCCACCAAACTTAACCACTTCCTACGCTGGGAAACTCAGGATACTGGTCCCAGATAGCGGAGATGCATATGAAAGGAATGATTTCAGTGAGTCCAGACTCTTCCATCTTTGCATACAAGGAAAAGCGCTAAATTCCTTAACTTGTGGTATCTGATTTTCTTTAATTCACAAAAATACTTTTGATGTTCAGACTACCTGCCCCTTGATGCAAATTTCAATGTAACCTGACTCCCTCCCCCTCCCACCTCCTCCAAGTAGTTCTCCCAGGACCGCTTAAGATGCTGCCTCCTGGACTTAAGTCCTGAAAATTTCCACCGAATAAAATGTAACTCAACTTTTAGGTTGTGACTATTTTTTTAGTCAACATCGCAAACATTCAAGTCTCTGTCTCTGTGTGTCTCATTCCGTCTCTTTGTTTTGGTTTAAAAATAAAATCTACTGGGATTTCCTGGTGGCTCAGTGGTAAAGAATCACCTGCCAATGCAGGGGACATGGGTTCCATCCCTGGTCTGGGAAGATTCCGTGTGATGAGTGACAACAAAACCCATGCACCTCAACTACTGAGCCAGTGCTCTAGGGCCCATGCTCCACAACAAAAGAAACTATTGCAATGAGAAGCCTGCACATTGTAACTAGAGAGTAGCCCTCACTCGCTGCAACTGAAGAAGGCCTGCAACAAAAACCCAACAGAGTCAAAATAAAAATAAATAAAAGGGATTTCCCTGGTGATCCAGTGGCTAATACTCTGGGCTCCCAATGCAGGGGGCCTGGGTTCAATCCCTGGTCAGGGAACTGGGTCTCACATGCCACAGCTAAGACCCTGGTGCAGCCAAATAAATAAATAAAAATATTAAATAAATAAATAATAAAACCTACTACTTTTCCTGATAAAATTAGTAATGCAGGATAACGCCTGAAAAATAGAGACATGCATAAAGGAGAAAAAAAAAATCTGTAAATTCACCACCCACCTCACCCTGTCTTGCCTCACCCCAGCTCTGGAACAATTTTTCCAATGTGTAGAAATGTTACATATATTGATTTGTGTGTATGTTTTCTGATTATTGAAGTAACACATTCGTTATAAAGATTCAGCCAATTAAAAAAACACAATTTGGAGACTTAAAAAAGTCTTTAATCCCACTTCCTGGAGGTAATCTTTTGAGCAGTTAGTTGCTAATCCTCCTTTTTTTTTCTTTTTTCCTCTATGAACAATTTCTGCCAAGTTGGAGCTTATCTGTATACAGTTTGGTAGTCTGCTTTTTGTGTCTTACCATTATCTCTCATTTGTATTCCCCCACGTCTTTAATTATACTGTATCAGTGAGGTCCCCTGCAGGAAACAGATGGCCTAATCAATTTAGGATAACTTGAAGTGGTTTAATACCAGGCATGTTTACCAAGGGACTGGATGGTAAAGGGGGCAGAGGACGAGTAGTTCAAGGTCTTGGGGCCCAGCTGGTGTGGATCTGTCATCCCTCAGCCTGAAGAAAACGGATGGGGGAGGGAGGGGTCACCTGACCCTGGAAGAAGAGTTATATACACAGGTGGAGGAGAAGAGAAGTAAATACACTGACTGTATTCTACTTTCCCTCTCAGGCCCTATTATTAGGCTCCCCATTGACTGCACTCAACAGAAGCCAAAGGCCAGCTTCTGGGGCCCAGAGGAGGCTCTAGAAGTGGGAAGAATGACCTTGGAGGGGCAGGTGGAAGACAATTTGCATGTACCACTAGTAAGGCTTCCAATCTAATGGGATTATTGAATAACCAATCCCAAACTCCTATTGGTGGGTATTGATATTCTTTCCAGTCTTTTGTCAAAGTCATGCTTCTTAAGACTAGGGGAGAGAAAGGGAGTAACTTTTTCATTCTTTTAACGGTGTCTGTCATAGAGCTGAAATTTTAAATTTTTCTAATTCATCAATTTTTTTTTTCTTCCATGTCTTGTGCTTTCAGCGTATACAAAAAAATCATCATCACGGTTGCCTAGATTTTCTCCTATACTACATTATAGGAGTTTTATAGTTCTGCACTTTACATTTAGGTCTATGATATATTTTAAGTTAATTTTTGTGAAAATGTGCAAAGTCTGCATCTAGGTTTTTTTGTTTATATTTATTTTTGGTCACACCCTAAGGCATGCAGGATTTAGTTCCCTGACCAGGGATTGAAACTTCGCCCCCTGTAGTGGTAGCTCAGAGTCTAAACCACTGGGCCACCAGGGAATTCCCTAACCAGTTGCTTCAGTACCATTTGTGGGAAGACCATCATTTCTTTATTGAATAATTGCCTTTGGTCCTTTCTCAAAAATCAATTGACTGCATTTGTGTGGGTCTATTCCTGGGCACTCTCTTCTGTTACATTGATTTATTTATCTTTTCACTAATAACAGAGTCTTGATTATTATAGCTTTATAGTAAGTCTTAATGTGAGAGTGTCCATCCTTCAACGTTGTTCTTCTCCTTTAATACTGTGAAAGCTACTCTGGGTCTTTTGAATTTCTGTTTAAACTTTCACTTTGTCAATATCCACAAATTAACTTGCTGGAACTTTGGATTGCATTGACTCTATAGATTAAGTTAGGAAGAACTGACATCTTGACAATATTGAATTTTCCTATCCATATTCATAGAAGAGTTCTATTTTTAGATGTTCTTTTACTTCTCTCATCAGAGTTTTATAGTGTTTCTCATACAGATTTTGTTTATATTTCGTTAGATTTGTATTAATACTTAAGTATTTCATTTTGGGGGATGCTGAATGTAAATGGTATTTTTAATTTCAAATTCAAATTGTTCATTGAAAGCAATAGGTTTTTGTGTATTAACCTTATATACTGACACTTGCTGTAATTGCTTATTGATTCAAAAATGTGGTATTTTTTTCTATGTGTTTTTAAAGACATAAAATTAAATACACAGGACTATTAAGAAAATTGATTATATTGAAACACAGTTATCAAAACATGAGAGTAACTTTGCAATAAGTGATACATATTTCTCTTTATTAATGATCTAAGTACAAGATAGAGCAATAGGTTCAACAACTACTATACTTTTGAGGTAGTAATAGGAGTAAATGATATTGCAAGACATGTGTCATATCTGTAATATGCTATGAAATATCTGTGCCTTCTTTTATGACAAAGTCACAACTTCTGCTAATATTATTGTAGCTTGTTGCTTACATTCATAAGGTAAAGAAATGCTAAATTTCAGTTAGAGGTTAGTGAAGAAGGAGATGTAACTTTCTCCCATGCAAGTTCACCTTCCCCTGAATCCTACCGTAGGGGTAGTTCATGAACCCCAGGTTAAGCTGGACTTTAAATAGAATGAAGTAGATCTATATGTATTAACATGGAAAAATCTTCAAGACATAGAATTAAAAAAGGAAATTGTTGAGAACAATACACATGTTGTGATACTCCTTGTGTTTAGAAATACTCATACATGCAAAAGCAATTCACTGGAAAAAAAATAGCCCTTTCAAAAACCATGCTGGGCTTCCTTAGTGGCTTAGTGGTGAAGAATCTGCCTGCCAATGCAGGAGACACCTGGTTTGATCCCTGGTGTGGGAAGATTCCACATGACCCAAGCCAACTAAGCCTGTGCACAGTTATTGAGCCTGTACTCTGGAGCCCAGGAACTGCAACTATTGAAGCCCCACTGAAGCACCCTAGAGCCCCTGCTCCGCAGCAAGAGAAGCCACCACTATAAGAAGCCCATGCACTGAAATGAAGAGTAGCTCTCACTTGCTGCCACTAGAGAAAGTCTGTGAAATAGTGAAGACCAGACACAGCTAAGAATAAGTAAATTAATTAACTAAAAAAACAATGCTGGAGTAATTGGACAACCATATGCCAAACAATGAACCTTGACCTAAAACTCACATGAAAATAAAAATTAACTCAATATGGAGCACTGACTTAAATGTAAAACATAAAGCTATAGAAGTTAGAAAAATTTAGGAAGACCATCTTCAAGGTCTAGAGGTGGACAAAGGGATTAATCCATAAAAGGAAAATTGATCAACTGAACTGGGTCAAAAATTTTTGCTCTGTGAAAGACCATGTTAAGAAGATAGGACTTCTCTCGTGGTACAGTGGATTAGAATCCACCTGCCAATCCAGGGGATGGGTTCGATCTTGGATCCAGGAAGATCCCACATGCCTGGGAGCAACTAAGCCTGTGCTCTACAACTACTGAGCACATGCTCTAGACCCAGT